GAGACGAGAGAGAGACGAGAGAGACGGAGACAGGTTGGCCAGGGAAGCAGGGACAGCATCAGGCATTTCCGCCGGGAAGGGCCTCTCTTGCTGGTCGGAGCAGAGAAGTTTCAAGGAATCTGCGATGAGCGCCTGGAGAACGCGTGCTTGGCTGCTGCTGGGCCTTTCTTCGGCGATCTCAACTAGTGCCTAGGGCCTGGTGTGCACAGCTGTCACATGGAGCGATCTAGCAATGCTTTCCTGGACTGGGCCCCGGGCCCCAGACCCGAGTCCCCCAACTTTTGCGGGCTCTTTTGTGCCTTCGTCTGCATGGAGCCCGACACACAGCGGCAGAGCTTGGCCACGAGGAGCGCTGCACCACCGGCTTCGCCTGCGACGGCAGAGCTCAAATGCTTGGACAGCAAAACGCCAACGGCTGCAAGACAGGTTAGGACCTGGTGCTTTGACACACTTTCGCGCCCTGGTCTTGCGCCGGCAGGACCGCCACAACAAGATGCGAGCCATTGCCAGAGTTCCAAAGTTCCGGATATGACTCCAAAGTCATCCCAGGCTTTAGGAAGCAACAGTCGCCCAGCCCGAGGAGCCTCGCTCCAGGCACCAGGTCCGGAAGCGCTGGGCCAACTGGGGGGCCCCGGGATCCACCTGCGGAACATGTCCCATTCCGGGACAAAGACGAGGATTAAGGCTCTTCTCATGTTCCCATGGCATCAGCTGTTTCCGATATCTCCCCAGCTTTGTGCTCCTTCGCGCCTCGCCCGATCGCGTTGGCCTGGCAGACCCGGAAAAGAAAAACAGATGAATCATCCTTGCAACGTTCACAGCAAACGGCCGCATCGCGTGCTTCACAGCCGGTCTCGGAAGCTCGGGGACACCCTTTACTAAGCCGCTCTTGACCACAATGGCCCTTGGCTGTTCCTCTACCCAAGTCGGCCTCGCTTCTGCCGGCATTCGCTCGTAGAACTCCTCGAGCGCCTCCACCAGGGTTTTTCGGAAGTATGTGTCAAGCGTTTCCCTCCACATCAAACGAGGTCCTTACATATCACGTAGATTTCATATTACCACATCAGACTCAGATATCATGTCTACTGTAGTCTTTTATGATACCCAGCAAGAGTCAAGGTTTGCGCCCCTTCAAGGAAGGCTCTTCGGGCCTTGAAGTCTTCACCACTGAGCTCGTCGATCATCGGATTGCCTCTCCGGGACAAAGGCTGACTTACACGAGTTTGCAGAATCTCAACCCGGGATCCGACTCACAACTTCACGGCTTTGTGTCCGAAAAATCTCAGGAACAAGGGGTCTTTGTGGAAAAGGGAGCAGGAACCAGGGATCAGCCTACATACTTCAATTTCACGTCTCACTAAAGTCACCCTCAATCCAACACCCTCAAGTCTGGAAACACGCCAGAGTCCCCCGCACTTATCCAAAAACGGAAGTCCCGACAAGCCGATTGCCATGTGAGTGTGGGGCTCCCGGCCCGTCTTGATGCGGACACGGTCCTCCCGCGACCTGAGAGACAAGCTGGCATCCTTACCCACCTGCCTACCTTCCTAACTTCCTGCCTACCCACCGCATCCCTAAATGAGAAGGAATGAGAGAATGAGTGAAAGAATATGAGAACAAGAGAAAGCAAGCGAGCGACCGAGAACAACTCCCATGATCTGGACCCCGAACACGTCTCAGCTTTGTGGTGCTTGATGCGTTTGCAAGCCTCTGAATCTTGACGGCCCCCGAGAAAGCTTCACAAGTCCCGGATCGCATCGTTCAACACAACATCATCAAAGTCATACTACCCTTCAGGCAACAGACATCACCGAGTACCAACAGCGAAAAATGAGAATGGCTGTAGAAATCCAAGAAATGCATCGCCAACTCACCAATCCATTCCGGCAAGCCCGGCCTGCACAGGTTGTGGACCAGCGAGGCGAAATGAAAGCCCACTGCCGGGTCCTCGCCCAAGTCCTGGGGTTCTGCATGATGGCGTCGGTGATCAGAAAAAATAAATGAAACATGAATAGCCAATAATGGTTTGTTAGTACAGAATACCTAATATGAGCATGATCTTGAAAACGGTCATGCTGATAATGAGCATCATCGCGAACAGGGTGTTGATGACGATGAAGATGATGACGCCAAGGATGATGGGATGACGCGAGGAGCAAAATGAACATGACGATGATGGCCTTGGTGCTGAAAGGTGGCGATGATGCGATGGTGACCGTGATGATGCTGACTGTGGTATGGCAAGGGTGGCGAGACTGAATGATGGGTTGCCGACTGTCCCATATCAGGAGGGAGTGGAATCTTGTTCTTTGCCAGTTGTGTTTTGATTGTTTTTTTGCTGGTTGTTCTCGCTTTCGTGCCTTTGCCAACTACCCGCAAATGGTGCAAATCTGGTCACTGCGTTTTATTATTTGCACAAGATGCTCGCCGCGCAAGTCTCCTGCTGTGGTGCGGTGCACACGTTTCGTTAGTTAAAAAACGTTCTACGTGCTGGTGACTCATTGTAAAGAAAACGAAACAGACCACGCCTGTTTGTGGAAAACTTTTAATCGCAGCAGCACTTACTTGGGGGAAACGACTTAGGGTGAAAACATATATAGAGGCTACCCCCCCCCCTCCGGTAGCTAGGTTTTCGTCTTTGTGCTGATGGTTTGCCTAAGTGGGCCGCAGGGAAGGGGCAGTTCGCAAACATGAGCCAGCCAAGAATTATGGATGTTGTGTCAAAAGTCTCTGCCGGAAGCGACGTTTATGTTTGCTTGAGCATCATGAGCAAGCACGGAAAAATCGGACAGAAAAGGCTGCGAGTGCATGCGCCCGCAAAATAGCAAGGAATGGCATAGGAAAAACTGTTCTGTCAACGATAGCGGTAGTCGCGAGGTGCCGACATACAGTAGTGAGCGAATGGCGGTATGGCGATGCAGGCCTTCTGAAGCTCACGAAAACNNCTTTGCACGGCATGGGATCTTACTGTTGCATGACCACCCACGCAGATTTCGTATCAAGGTGGATGGTGACTATGTTTAGTTGGCTGCCGTTATGGTTTATAGACTCACACGTTCATTGAACGTCCACATTGTTTCTACACAACAGTGTAAGTGTTGTTGGTGGGTTTTGCAGTCTGGTACACGACTTAATCAGTGAGTTCATTGCTTAAAATAGTCATATACGGAATAAGGCGTAGTGTGAGATAGTGTCATTATACCTGTTAAAATCTTTAGTCTTCGCACCATGCACTGCACAATGAATCATGCGTATCTGTCAAATTAGCAGTCAATAGCAACAATGGTAGCAGTTCGTGACCCGCTTTGATACGTGTAGGTTTAGGTATTTTTGCTCGAAGTATAGTCTTCATTGACTTGGGAATCCGATTCTCCGTTGCTTTGAGCCATGTCTAAACTGCTACACAATCTGTTGTTCTACGTCGAACTCGAACAAATCAAGTGTGGCTTTAGTTTTTCGTCTGGCAATGTTGTTACCACATGTTTTAACCATTACCGTAAATCCTGTTACTGTGATTAATATTGTACTTCATCAATACTAGCGGGTTAGCATTGTGTACATCCCAGTTTCTGATCATTTCTGAATCAAGACTCACTGTGTCAACTACTGTTGACATTATTTTTCATTCAAAGTATTTCGTATATTTTTCAGAAACTTTGCCTCATAATACCACACGTTATATACAAAGTGCACAGGTTCTGCTTGCAGCGGGGCGCTTGGGGCAGCTGCAGTGAGTGGTGCTGCAAAGCTTTTCGGCAGCGGTGTGCTTGGGGCAGCTGGAGTGGCTGGTGCTGCAAAACCTTGCGCAGCAGGCTCAGCCTCCGGCTGTTTCTTGTTAGCCCTGCGATTCATATTGCGCCAAATGTCGTCGACCTGCGAAAGCAATCGTTGCGCTCATTCTCGGTCATCGCCGCGACATCTGGCACCCCACGACCGGGTTCGGCTGCCAACCACTGCGAAAGCCACGCTTTACCGCATCGCAAGTTCTCTGGTCAAAGTCGGGGTTGTCAATGCCACAATTGTAGCAATTCCGCATCTTGGAATCGAGGTACTGACCACCGCCAGGGGCTTGGCACTTGCTTCTGGCAGGGGCCACGTCTTTCGCGACATTCCAAGCTGTCGAAGAAGACTTCGCATGAGGCTGGGTCTGGCCGCGAACGCAACTGAAAACTTCATGGGCTCTCTGGACCAGCAGCATAGTTGGCCAGCCACGCACTCAGCGCGACACAGATTGACAGCGGCTCTGGTCTGCAGGACCATTGCTGCTTGAAGACCTTCCAATGCGAGCTTATCGACTGGTGGGTGTTTTGGCCCAATGCCACTAGTGCGCAGGTGGAAAACCCTGGGATGAAAAACAGCTTGATGTTCTATTGGAGGGCCACTTTGGTGAGGTCCAAACTGAAATAGTGAGCCTCCGCCCGTATCCAGCATCAAGACTAAGGATTTTGCCAGTGGGATTGTCTTCCGAACCTCTCGCGCCCACTGGACAACGAAGTACACGAAGCTCTTGGCAGCGTTGCTTCCACCAGGGTTCGCCCAGAAGCACGTACCAGCGCATATGGTTTGGAAGTCCTTTTGTACCCGCGCGGTGGCTGTCACAATGCCCATGAACGCCTGCCCAAGCAGCGGAAGGAAAGTGCACAAAGAGATGTGTTCCCACGGACACTCCTGCTTTGTCTCAGCTGCTTTCATACCCTGGGGCACAACACCCTTGTAGACACACTCCGCGCTGAGAAATGCCCTTCTCATCCACACCAAAGACGAGCCGCCTCTGTCTTCAGCAAAACCATGTGGCCTTCTCGTATCAGGAGCTCTTCACGATTCATGATTGCGCGGCCCACCACTTGTGGCGTGCAAGCTGCGTGCTCAGGGATGGTGCGCGTTTTGAGTTCCTTGACAATGAACAACTCTGCTGGGTCCTGTGTGGTTTGCACCCATGCACGGAAGGAGCTCCAAGCAGCGTCCACCGGGTAGTGCACGGAGAGCTGCTCTAGTCTCGCGAGCGCCGCATCTACTGTCAAGTCTGACTCTGCCAAGAGCTGGTCCTTCTCCAAGCGCAGGAGCACCAAGGCTTGCCTGAGCGAAACGATGCGTCCAAAAATAGCCAAGCAATAAGACTCCAACTTCAGTGGCGGCTAAACCTTCCCAAGATGCCGATTAACGCCAAAACCACATCAGAAACGTAACGTGGCCGGCACTGAGACACAGACATTGCCCTTCCGATTTTCGCATGGTAGAAGATATACTTGAGGAAGTCGGTACTGTCTGCTTCTGTGAGCTGCAAGACCGGCGCTCGGCCTGTCCTGAAGGCAGGAGGGCACCGAGCAGTTTCGCTCCTGTACAAAGGAAGTACGAGGAGCGGAACCGGACTCGGAAGCGGAGTTGCTGCTGCTATCTCGACTTGGCCGAAAAACCCCTAGAAGGCCAAGTCCATACTGGGGACCAAGGAGAATAGCAGGACAGGAGGAAGCAAGGGCCGCGGCAGCAAATCCAAAAGAGCTGCGGAACCGGACGGGACCGGAAACAGCCTCGAACCCTGCGGCTGCGGTGTCGGAGGCGGTTCCGTTGCGGGCCTACGTAAACAAACCCAATCAAAGCTCGGAATCGCATATGATATGAAGATACAGTAGGTTGATATAGGTGCGTGCATGTATAGAGGATATGCATACATAAATGCACACATAAGAAATTAAATACAACGACTTTGTTCATAGTATCATCATGCACAGTTTGTATCCTGTACCATCATATGTTTCAGAAAGTTATTGTTATTATACATATACACATATATAGATATAGAGCGTAAGTATACAGAGGTGTATGTATATATATATATATATATATGCATTGCTGGCACGAGTCGTGAACACCGGACTATTCTTGCCCCCGGTAGCTCCCAGAATCCAAAGGAAGACCCTAAGTCGTTTCCTCCAAGTACTGCTGCAATTCAAGGTAAGCAAGCGTGGTCCGTATCGTTGTGTTTACAATGAGTCACGCCTCCAGCACGTAGAACCCGTAAATGCACCACACCACCGCGGGAGACTTGCGGAGCGAGCATCTTGTGCAAAAAGTAGGATGCAGAGACCAGGGTTTCAACATTTGCTGCAAATAACGGAACGCGGAGAGTTGGCAAAGGCACGAAAGCGAGAACAACGAGCCAAAATGCTAAACAGCTAAAACGAGAAAACAAGTAGTAACAACAACAATAAGAATAGTAATCTGCAAAAATACCCCTCTATCTCAGGACCTTCAGGGGCCCTTGGTAGGGCCTCTTCTATTCACGGTTGCAACGGTTACCTCATCGCAACATCAAGACATGAAGCCCCATGACGCTATGAGCAAAAGGAGCCGAAAGGAGCCCGTGGCTCCTCCTCCTTCGCCAAGGCCTGCAGGGCACCCAGCGTCTTCTTCGATGCGATGAGCCGCTCCTAGCCGGAAATGCCAGTTCTGAAGCAAAGGATCGGGCTTGGGGCTCTGAAACTCGGGACTGCAGGCATTGGGGCTAGTTTTGGCTGGGGTTTAGGTAGAAGCCGACGGGCTGCGCGTCCTTGAACTCGCCGTGGATGGCCAGAACGGCGAAGCTCTCGTACAGGCCAGCACAGAGCCTGCGCGCCTGAGTGCCGGGACATTTTTCGGCCCTGAGAGTTCAAGACTGTTGTCACGGAAACCGCCTGCCGCTGCTGTTCGTGCGTCTGTGCGGCCCGAGCTCCTGAGATCACGAAACTGGTGGATGTAGGTTTGAGAACTTGTGAAAATGCCAGGCCTCGCCAGAACTCCCACACCCTCTCTGGCCGGTACATCAATTTAGCCATGGCACTCTCGCCAGCCACGTCCACAGCGAAGCGGAGCTCCATCATGAAATCCACCCGATCCTTGGATCACCAGGTCAAGGCGGCTGAAAAAAACAACAGACTCTGAGTCTCCTCATGTTTTCATTGAAGACTACGAAGTTTCGCTGCATGCGCCCAGAGCGTCGAAGATCTCGTCTCGGACGTCTTTGTTGTGAGCGGCCATGATTGCCAGCACGGCAACCTGATTTCCAGAACAGCAGCCGCTGCAGCAGAGGTCCGGCCACAGTAACGTTGGGAAATCAATACTCACAAGCACGGAGGTTGCGGACAATCGACGTTGCATCATGAACAGAGGGTGAAACTGACGACGAGGATGACGACAACGACGACTGACAAGTAACACGTTAAAGACGACAAAGACGATGATGATACTTTGGTGGTGGTGATGATGGTGGTGGAGAGCATCATAATGCAGTCCAGCAGCCAGCTTCGCATCCACCAACTCTCGACGAATTCCTCGTTCGGTGTTGCTGAGCGCGTTGAGAATCACGTCAATGCCTTGCGATTTCTCTTCTGCTGGACCGGCTTTCTTGGTTGCAAGCTGGAAAGCCTTGGGGGCTTGGGATAAAGGTGCTCCATTACAGAAACGTGAGAAACTGGAACCAGCAAAATTGCAGCGTCGGCTTCAAACGGCCTCCTCCCTCGATCCATCTCTGTCTAGTCCGGGAGTCGCTGGCCTTCGAGAAGTCAGAGCTGCCACTGTCCAGAACTAAGTTGCTAAAAAAGTTCAGGTGCAGCTGTAGGTATGCCGGCTACGAGCAGCTATGGATGTAGGATTTCCATCGAGCGCCAGACTGCCAGCAGCAGGCACTCCGCAGCGTGGCCCTGGGACTCGCGTCCTTCGGGGCCTGGCTCTCGAGTGCCACGCGATTCTGGCAGCTAGCAGCAGCTAGCAGCAGCTATGGATGCTGCGGAGGTTCTGACTACAGTTCTCCGCAGAATCAGAGTGGTAATTCTATTTGCTGCTAGTGCGACTACCAAGTCAAGAACGGTGGCATGACAACGAGAATAGTGATCGCTGGCATCATGTGGCTGTGCTTGTCGATGGCTGTGCTGGCGGCAGTGCCGGTTACGGAGGACCTGTTCGTGTTGTTGGCGCCAGTGTTGCTCTTGGTGCTGCTTATGTTCTGTTGCATATCACACATCAATCATCACATGCTGTACCCTTCCTGACCCAGAAGAAAGCTGCTGTGCCTGGAACGGGACGGGCCAATGCGTTCAGCACCGCGGATAAAGGCACGGCCGACATCTGCAGAATCAACGCCGCATCCTCCATTCGATCAGCATGGGAAGATACATGTTGTGCACATTAACTGTGTATGTAGTATGTATAGACAAAAGTGTATGTTGATGTATGTCTGTGTATGTATGTATGCATGCATGCATGCATGCATGTCTGTCTGGATGCTTGTGTGTATGCTTGTTTGTCTGTATGTTTGTGCGCTTGTTTGTACGAAGGTATGCTATGCATATGTATGTACTTGTATGTATATGTATGCCTAGAAGTAGAAACAGAGATACCATTACAGACGCAGATACGAATACAGCTACAGACACCGATAGAGGATGATAGAGGTACAGATACTGATACTGATACTCATATTGTAAAGCATGACTGGGTGTTCAGGAGCCGCTGGGGCACTTCAATCGTTGGATGCCTTGGCCCGGGAGGCCAGCAGGCAGGCAAGACCAGCAAGGCCATTGCGCAGCAGCGAGGCGTCCTCTTTGGCCATTCAAGTCTCGGGTGGGGATTTCTTCTTTCAGGACAATTCAGGTGAAGGCGTTACGGGTATCAAAAGTGGAATGCTGGCAAACTGATCTGGCCGGCGGGCACCCCAGCACCTCTAGTCCAACAGTCCCCCGCAAGGGCCTGGGATTGGAGAAAAGGCTCCAGAAGTCGCAGGCCGACTCCCGGCACATCCACCTGCGCACAGCCATCTCTGACACGCACGGAAATGATCTTACAAAGCCTTTCCATCCTGCTAGGATTTCGCTCCGTGACCCTGCAACCGTAGGCCTGGTGCCCGTTGGGTCTGTGATGTACACTGGAAAACCGCAACTAGGCCGACCGGTAAAGACATCCAAGCGAAGACGACGTAGGCATCCCTGGATCTTCTCCGCGACTCGTTTACCCTCGCCGAAACCCTGGGCTTGACCCCTAAACAAGCGGATCACGACGCGGGAAGAAACCCCGCCTGAAGCTCCCTTGGCCGATCGTCGTTGTCGGCCAGCAATGTGAAGACCTTCCAACAGATCCTACACTGTCCTAGACAGTGCTCCTCCAGCTGTGCTGAAGCTGCTTTTGTACAGGAACTGCGCATAACGTCTGATGCAACTCGTCATGTTGCGGGTTATCCTGAGAGGATGATACCGAGTCTCCTGGACTCCTGGCAAACGCTCGAGCCTCACAATTGCAACGTCTGTCTTGTGAGGATCGCTCAACTGTTTGCAGGGCTTTCTTTGCCACACTCGGCTTGAACAGAACTAAACAGCTCGTCGCTGGCTCTGACAAACCCCATCTCCGATCTGCTGGACATAAAGACCGACTCTGCTTGGTGATCATGCGAAATCATTAGCAAACATCTTGCTGCAAGCATTGCAAGCCAGCAGAAGCACTGTTAGCAACAGCAATCATCAATGATGAATACACAATGCCCGCCACTCGTCCCAGATCTAAGTCTGCGACGCACACTGACACGCAAGCCCAGACCCCCCTCAAGTCCTCATTAACCCATAACCCACCCATGACCCAGCATAACCCCCCCGCCGCCTCCCCCGGTTTCCTGAGCCCCCAAACCCCGAAGCCCATTCCCTGCAACCCCACACCCCAGCGGCAGACCTCGGCCAGAAAGCCGTGAAGGAGCTCCTGGAGATGTCGAAAAAACTTTTTGAGGGGGAGCCCGCCTTCAACTGTCTTAGGGGCTTGGGGTTCTTGCAACTACGCAGAACATCAAGGTGCCAGCGAATCGGTGCCACTCTTTTCTTTTCTGCAAGTGGGCTGCGATTGTGAGTACAGCTGCCTCAGAGCAACGAACTGCTGCGTCTAGTATCTAGTAAGGGGGACAGTGACACGTCCCGCCAATGCACGAGCAGTCTGGAGCACACTGATAAGTTGAGCCGCATCCCGGCGTGCCCCATTCCACCTTAGAGTCAGCAACCTCCTCGGCATGCCCTTCCTCGACATGCGCGTACCTCACTTGCTCGTGCTCTTGCTTCTCATACTCCTGGGCAGCACTGACGATGTCACCTTTCTGCAGTCTTGTTTGGCGAACCGCGTCGCCGACGACCAGGCACAAGAGGAGCAGCACTGCGCGGCCGGCAACTTTGGAACCCATGGATATGGGACCGTGGAGATACAAATTGGATTTGGCTATAACTCACGAAGCTCGACTGAGCCAGGTTCACGGCTGCCGACATCGGTACTGGGTCCTTGCACAAGCTGAGGCCTCAGGTTTAAGTTCGGCATAATGGAAATGGCCCCGGAAAAAGAGTGGCAACAGCAGGACAGGTGACACAGAGATGATGACCGCATCAAAACAGGTTTGATAGTGTTGGTGCAGGCACTACCGCTTGGAATGAACAGGTAGCACACTGACATATCGATATGCGCATCACCAGACATGCGTACAGCATCCAAAAACTCAGGCAAAGATGCATGGGCGTGCGCATCAAGCCGTGTGGATGGATACTTGCTACTGAAGAAACATAACAAAGCTTGCATGATCGCCTGTAGGGCTATGCGATGCTATGCAGAGCCCACGGGTTGGGCTCAAAGGCTTCAGGCCTGAAGGCTTCTACAATATAGGGCGGAGAGTTTCTGGATCCGCTAGGACCCCATAGCAGAACCACATCATCTCATCATACTAGATGTCGCACCGTTGTATGTACGAAGAGAGAAATACCCAGATCACGGTTCAAGATAGCCGTAGATATATAGATAGATAGATAGATAGATAGATAGATAGATAGACAGATAGATAGATAGATAGATAGACAGATAGATAGATAGACAGATCGATAGATATAGGCAGACAAATAGACAGACAGACTGACTGACTGACAGACGGATGGACAGACGGACGGACGGATCTATATATGTATATGTGTACAATGTATACATACACATATATATATATATATATGTCTTCGCACCTCAACCTTGTC